TGTCATTGCTTTTCCAGTAAACCTAATTTATTATATCTATTACCCACAGAATAAAGACCATTTGACACCATTCAAATTTCCAACAAAAAAGGTACCTTCAGTCTTTACATGAATAATTATTATAATTATTCAAACTATTTACTAGAGTGATGTTAAAAATGGTAAGGCACTACTTTGAAATCTTGTGTTTTCTCTGCCAACAGACTGAAGTTCGGGTTGATTTCTTTATCCTCCCAAATAAAATGCTGATCATTTTAACTGGAGCCGGTTTGGGACTCTTACTTCTGATCATAATCACAATCATCCTGTTTAAGGTGAGAGTTTATACTCAGCCTGAAGACTGTTATCTTTATATCAAGTTGTCTGAATCTCCATAACTGCACTGAGATCACCAAATTGCTATTTGGTCTAATGATTCTCTTTGTGTCTGTCACAAGCTCGGTTGCTTCAAGAGGAAAAAGTTTGGAGAAGATGATCTTGAGGATGACACTGTTGTAATACCAATCCCTGCTTCAACTGTAGGGACTGATAAGAAATCTGAGAAATCTTCCAATGATAATCAAACGCAGGAAAAATCACCTCTCATCTCCTCTGCCCCCGATGATGAACAGATCAAGCAGTCAGGCACTGATAACAAATCTGATCAACCTTCTGAGGAAAATAAGGTTCATGATGATGGTGCTGCTGAGGAGAAAAAGGATGAAGCTACTGTTACCATTAACGCATAAAGTCAAGGAGGATTTGGAATATATGGAACATTTGTTAGTCTTAGTGACAGTTTAGCATAGTTCAGACTGGACACAAGTAGAAAACGTGATTTAGGGGTATGATCTGGGTCTGTGTCCCAGATGACCCCCCCATATTTTTTAATTCTCTTATTATTCTTCATGAGTTGCAACACATAAACCACAGTGTAAAACAGTTCAAATTTTGATTTGCCTGGCTACAGAAGAATTTCGCACTTTGCCTCAGTGCATTGCCTTAACTCGGTGGCATTTATGGATTATGTTCACGTATGGTTTAATCTTTGGATGAGAGAGCTTTAACCTGCATTTCACAGTGATTTCTGTTAGGGTTCCTGAGCTCATACACTGATGCCAGAATCATGCCATGCAGCATATAGGTTTATGAGATTTACAAATCAGTGCATTCTATTTCTACTTTTTACAGTACTCTTACTGTTTCTGAATTAGGTTTTTACATCTCATGCAATAATTGTGGGTTCAGCTACATCAGGGAAAAATCAATGACACCAGACATGAAGCTGAATAAGCATCAGATGGATTGGCTTTCTACAAATGTTCAATGGTCACAGCACAGGAAAACATCAGCGAGTTTGTAGACACCTCCATGAAGGAGGCTGTTCATGCCAGACACAAGAGGCAAGCACTTCTGTTTAATATTCTGTTGAGATGTGACTAAAGAGTCATACCTGTAGCAATCCATAGTTCATGCAGAAACCCAAGGTTTAATAATTGTTGTTCATGTGACTGTTTAACACAACTTATTTAACACGCTTAATAATTCCTTCTCTGCTAATGTCAATAGCCTACCATGTATTCCCCATTAATGCACATTATTTACATTTTGATACACTGTAATATTTTTAATAGTTACCACCTATATGAAAAGGCTCTGCTGCCTTCTGCACAGGTATTTATTCAAAAAGCACTTCACCTTGTATTATATCTGACTGTGTTTAATATGTTGATTTTTGTAGAGTAATTAAAATTTTGAATAATTGATTCTGATCTCACTAAATGAGTTAATGTGAGTGAGAAGATCTTTAGTTCGTTACAGACATGAAAGTTAGGTAGACAAAAGTGTTGATAATAAAAAGTTTGCAGCTGGATTGACAATAAACTTCATAAATTTGGGAGTTTAAATCTGAGATTACATCAGATATTTAGAAATTGTGGATGATGTTGGCAAAGTAAGACACCAATTTTAAATGTAGAAAATGTAAATGAAATGTAGATATTAAAGGGTGGAAAACAACATGTTCCTTTAATTTCCCTAATATTTTTAGTCTACTGTTGTTTGCATATTTGTACTTTTAGTTTGCTTTTCCGTGTTTTAAATGTCTTGCCTTTACACTGTTAATTTCCATTGGAATATATCCTAAGATCTGTATCCATGTGAACATGAATTATGACTTTTTTTTTTCTTTTTAAAAGAAATTCTGTATCTTAGTAAAAGTGAAATAATGTTTGTAAGATAAACAGATGCACAAACCACCTTTGTATCTGCAAATGAATAAAGACAATTTCCCATGTCATATATGCACTGACATGTGAACTGAGGGTGTTATCTCGGGTGTAAGACCGACTAAATCCTTAAACCACATGATTTTGGTAAAATATCTGGATATTTTTGGATACAGATATAGAAAACTCAAACTGTTTCCTTCTCTCGCTCTGTCCCCTGGTATTCTTCTGAACTTGGCCAATTCATGATATGGTCAATTGTTTTTTCTCCTACTCAGCTGTCTTCCTCTCTAACAGTTTTGAACTTCCTACAATAATTCAGCTGTCATCGTGTAAACTTGACCCACTAATCTTGTTGAACTTTCCCTCCCCTCTCTTGGCTCGTTGATAGTTAATATCGCACACTCCTCTCTTATCTCTGGTTCTGTTCTATCCTCTCTTAAAACTGCAATAATAACTCCAGTTTTGAAAAAGAATGGTTCAGACCGTACCGTTTTAAATAATTTCAGGCTAATTTCAAATTTGCCCTTCCGAGCCAAAACTCGAAAAAATAGTGGCTGTGCAGGTTCATATACACCTCACTGGAAATAACTTGTATGAAGTTTCTTGTTGTTTTTTTTATACTTGTTTACTTGTAATACTTGTTTTTCTATTTGCCTTTTGGATTCACCAATGCCCTTGCTGTTTTCCAGGCATTAGTTAATGATGTCTTTTTTTTTTTTAACATAATTGTATTTCTCAGCTTATATATATGGACACAGCAAGGTCTTTGAGAAAAAAAATGAGAATGTCATCTGTCCATATCTGTGTGAAGGTCAAGAAATGGGAGTTTCACACACTGCTGTCAGATCTCCATCAAACAGGGAACTCGAGGATGAGACATATGAAGCAGACAAATTGGGCTACTGACTGTTTATTCTGCATTGATCTGAGGATAGAAAACAGAATATATTAGTGCAGTCACTAATTTCATCCCTTTTGTGTGCTTAATTTTCCATTAATGTGGCGTAATGATATCAAAGCTGAGTCATTTTTAAAAAAAATAAACATACATTTTAATACGAATAAGCAGAATTCATAAATAAGGGAAATGGTTTTCAGTACTGAATTTTTTCAGGCTTTCGTTTGTAGTTTGTTGTTAGAGTTTATTAATAGAAAAAGAAGAACTGCGTTTATCAGAATGTAGTATTGAAACTATAAAATGATGACTGAGCCTTTTATTGGCTTTTTCTAATGTGCCTGAATTCTCACACGAGGCAGAGCAAAATATTTTAGCCTGGATAGCTGTTGACCTGATTAAGTGATGTTACACTAAATCAGATTATTTAATGAAAAAGTGTAAGGTCTTGAAGAAGATTTATTTATTGGGAGTGAATCTCATCTATACTTTTATTACTTTTTTCGTTGGGCAAACTAATTCAAATGAAAATGTGAGTGTATGGTGCTGAAGAGAGACTCTAATAATCTGAATAAACACTGTCATCTTAAAGGCCTTTAACCCTCTCAAGGCAGGCGTTGCCGATTTGCAACAGTTAAAAACTAACAACCTGATTACCCCACATACATATTTTATAGTTTTTTTCTTTACTCAGAAGTATCACTACAGGACTTGGTTGTGCATTAGCAACAAAAAGTTTAATTTGATCCTGAGAGGGTTAAACAGAAAGAGCAAAACCTTGCACATGCATTTTCCCTTTTGAGCAAGTTGCCCTGCAACAACAGGAGAAACTTACCAGTAGATCTTTTTTGTCCACTTTTTTACATTCAAAATCTTTTCACTAGAGAAAATAACAGAAACAGTTCTGCATGTGCCACTGAATTCAAGGCCACTATTATTTCAAGCCACTAAAATGTGCTGAACATTTATAAAACTGATTCAAAGTCTGGATTTTTAAAAATTACTGGCCAAAACCTCCACAGATGAACCTGCACTGATGTTCACAACTACTACATAACTGTGATATATGTACCACACTTTCTGTGTCTCAATGTAGTAACTGTCACAGTGACTGAAAAAACTTTTATTCTAGAGTCTCAGCTCATACCAGCTTTTTCTTTTTTCTTAAAACAGTCTTTGAGAGCGACACCTCGCATCTGCAATGCTCTGGAAGGAGTATTCAACACAACCGTGTGTGGTTTGAGCCTTCCTGTTTATGGCAGCAGATCCTCTGTGAGTCATACTGCAAGCAGATGCAATCCTAACAGACAAAATCAAGTTTCACAAACGCAAAACTGAAACTTTCGTTTTAGCAACCGGCGTCTGCTGTGTAGAAATTCTCATCTATGAATCAGGTACAACGTCTTTGTCATTTCTTCGCACAAAAACACGACGATTGAATGTTCTTTCCACATCTCTGTAACAACTGCTGCAAACAGGTACTACTGCCCAACATAATACAAAGGCAAACATTTTCTTTAAAATATTTACTTTGATTTTTAAAGCAATACCTTTTTCATTCTCAATGCTAATCAAAACTCCCACAGGACCAGCATCCTGACCAAAGATCATGGCAAAATATGAAATTAAAGTAAACAGTATCAGTATTCGCACACTGCATCTGTTTTAGCATTACATATAGGATAAGACACTTAATTACTCTACAGCAAGAGACCGTCCACCAGACCTGATGATCAAACGTAACAGAATACTTTTTATGTAAAGCTGCGTTTTTAAAATGCTCTTCACTGATTATTATTTAGTAATTAATGTATGTTTGAAGACACTTTTCAGGAGCATGTTCGAGCAGCCATTGCACTTGTCATTAACTTTGCCATTCTGCTATTATGTGGTGGGTAGGTACTATAAAGCAAAAAAGGCAGAAAAAAAATCCTACAACACATGGAAGATGTCATACGGCTGTGTGGCAGGCAGGATGTAGGACCCAAACGCAAGACACTCAGACATAGGAAAAAACACTCAAAGAGGCTGCTTTATTGCAGTGCAAAAAACTCCATAAAAACAAACACACAAAAAACAAACCCAAACTACAAACTGGAAACTGATACTAAACACTAGGAAACCTGGAACGAGAGACTAGGGACGCGGATCACAGGGAGCACGGAGGGAACCACACACAGCATGACGAGGGTACGACGTGACACAGAGCAAGGAAAACACAGGTCTTAAACACACTGAGGGACACCGAGTGAATGAGACACAGGAGAAGAGCAGAGCTGGGAGTAATCAAACATGATGAGACATGGGATGGGTAAAGCAAAAGTAGAAACACTGACATAAGACAAGGGACCGTCAAAGTAAAACAGGAAGTATAACACAGAGACGGGGACTTAATGATAATACAAAATCAAAACACTGGGTCACTGACCCAGGACTGTGACAGAAGGGTTTTAATATGATGTTTATGTGATCCACTAAAGTGAAACTTAACACTATATTTTGTGAGAGGGGTCTGGAGGTGACTTTTATTACCTTTGGACAGGTAACAGAAACTGGAACAGACCAATCTCATTTTTAGCTCTACAACTCCAGGAAAACGATACCACATAAGAGATGACCTTTATGTCTTTCTGCTACTTAGCGCTAAAAGACGAGAAGATGAATAAATCATTAGAATTTTCTTCGCCAAAACTAAATTGCAAACTTGTTGGACACACAAAACAAGCCACATCATATTATTATTATTATTTAAATCATGAGCGTTACCAGTGAGTATACTCTGGATAATGTTTCTTTCTGACTCTAAGAATGACCAAAAATTACCCAAAAGTGGGCTCAATGTTTTATTCATTGTGATATGAAATGAGTGACAGAGCCCATAAACTCATCACCAAAGTGTGTGAATGTCAGATTTAGTGCTATGTATTCATCAGTTGGTTCCAACTATAGCTTTTATAATGGCTCTTTGAAGAGACTGTAGTTGTAAAATCATGCTGTTAACAGTGAAGTGTGATCTGCGTTTACTTGTTTAGCTCAAGCCTCTTTAACCCTTAACCTGGCAAGGTGCGAGTTTGGGAAAGCTGTCGACATATCTAGGTAAGCAGGTTGGACAGGGGCAAATTCGTCTCATAACTGCATAAATGGATGCAATTCTGTCCCACCCTACACCCAAGACAAGAGATGAACTCTCTTGTTTTGGGCGGTTTCTAGGTCTAGCTGACTATTACAGGTGTTTTTGCCACAACTTCTCTGTGGTAGTAGAGCCACTCACCACTCACACCATTGTTCTTAATATATCTTCTCCCCCTCCAGCACATAATGGGCTCTTTTGAGGAGATTTCTTATCACTGTTATGCTGATGATATTCAGTTGTACATCTCTTTAAGCCCCAGGATTTATCTAAGCTTCAGCTTTTAAATGACTGCTTAAATTCTATCAAACGTTTGATGGCTGTAAATTTCCTCCAACTCAACGAGGGGAAAACTGAAGTCCTCATATGTGCTCCGGACAGATTTGTATCCCAGATAGTGAAAGCCCTTGGTCTTCTTTCTGTGTATGTTAAATCCTCTATCAGGAATTTAGGTGTCACTTTTGACTCGACTCTTACATTGGATGGGCATGTGAAATCTCTGGTTCAGTCTTGTTTTTATCATTTAAGAAATGTGGCTAAGTTAAGCCCTATTTTATCTCGCCCTGAACTGGAGATAGCTATACATGCATTTATTTCCTCACGCTTGGACTATTGTAACTCTTTGTTTATGTGTCTAAGCAAAGGTTCTCTGGATCGTCTGCAGGTTGTGCAAAACGCTGCAGCTAGACTTTTGACAAAATCCTCCAAGTATTCTCATGTGACACCATTGCTATTTCAGCTACACTGGCTTCCTGTTGAACTTAGAGTACATTTTAAGATCCTGGTCTTGACATTTAGAGCCTTGCATGGACTGGCACCTCCCTACATCTCCGATCTGCTACAGCCCTATGTCCCTAGCAGGTCCCTGAGGTCATCTGATCAGGGCTTACTTGCTATAAAACAGGCTAAAATGAGAACTAATGGTGACAGAGCTTTTGCCACCGTGGCCCCTAGACTGTGGAACTCTCTCCCCCAAACATTAAGAACTGTGGACTCAGTAGTTGTTTTTAAAAGAACAACTCAAAACTCACCTTTTTAAAACTGTGTTTGGTTAAATTTCTGCCTGTTTTATATTGTCTGTTTTACCCTTTTATTATTTGTTATCTTATGTGCAGCACTTTGTGATTCTGTCTAGAAAGGTGCTATAGAAATAAAAATGTCTTTATTTATTTATTTATTTATTTATGTACAATCACAACCAGAGGTTGATCCTGATCAGATGTGTTCTTCCATAGACTTCTACAATATCGGAAGTCTTTATAACCTCATGTATCATCCCCTCTGGGAGGAAAAGATGACTTGATGCTTGTTTAGTATCCAACAAGTTAACAGGTTGGCAGCTGAATTTTCTATGCAGTTCAGTGTTGACCCCAAAACCATTTGGGAAGAGAAGGGGTTGAAGATTTGATTGTTTTATCATGCTCTTAATGAAACGAGGAAGAATAATAACGCCTCAAGATATTCAAAGATTCAAAGCATTCATTGTCATGTGTACCAATAAAAAGCATTTCTCTGTACAATGAAATTCTTTCTCTGCTGTCCACACACAGATGCTGGTTAATATGTACAATAGATAGAATACAAATAGTATGAATAAATAAATGGAGATAAAAAAGAAAAATTGAAGTATTGAATAGATTTATGTGCAAAAGAGCTATGAGCTTAATATGCTGGTTGATATGTGAGATGACCTGAAGTGCAAAAATTATTGATACTGTTAAAATAGGTCAGCTGTTTAAGAGTCTGATAGCAGTGGGGAAGAAGGAGTTGCTGAGTCGAGATACAAAATCAAGTCGAGTCTGGATTTCACACTTCTAAACCTTCGTTCCGAGGGCAGAAGTGTGAACAGTCCGTGTTGGGTGTGTGGGGTCTTTGAGGATGGAGGCAGCTCTCCTATGGACTCTGCGATGGCAGATGTTCTGCAGAGAGGGCAGCGGGGTCTTGGTGATCCTCACAGCGTTTGTTATCACTCTCTGCAGGCATTTGTGGTCCATAACAGTAGTGCTGCTATACCATGCAGTGATGCAGCTGGTCAGGGTGCTCTCCACAATCCAGCTGTAGAAACTGCTGAGGATCTTGGCCAACACCCCAAATTTCCCCAGCCTCCTCAGGAAATACAGCTGCTGCTGAGCCTTCTTGACCAGCTGTGTGGTGTTCAGTGTGCAGGTGAGGTCCTCAGACATGTAGACGGCCAGGTACCTAAAGCTGCTCACCCTCTCCACTTCAAGCCCCAGGATGAACAGCAGCTGGTGAGGCCTCTTCTTCTTCCTCATGTCCACAATCATCTATTTTGTCTTATCAGTGTTGAGGGTGAGATTGTTCTCCTCACACCATGACACCAGACCGGCCACCTCTCTCCTGTAAGCAGCTTCGTCCCCTCCAGTGATGCAACCGATCACTGCAGTATCCTCCGCGAACTTTAGTATGGTGTTATCCCTATTGGATGCAACACAGTCGTGGGTGTACAGGGTGTAGAGGATGGGACTGAGGACGCAACCCTGTGGAACGCCAGTGTTAGTACTAATGCTGCCTGCCAGTCATAAAGTCCTGTGGTGGGTGGATAGGGTTGGGTGTAGGCCGAGTGTTGCCAGCTTGTGAGTGACACCATCTGGCTGAGGCCTGTCTATGCGCAGTTTGCATGTTCTCATTGTGTCTGCATGGGTTCTGTCCAGGTAGTGTGGCTTCTTCTCACAGTCCAAAGACAAGGAAATGGTAAATGGACTGGTTCTTATATAGCGCTTTTCTACTCTGAGCACTCAAAGCGCTTTACACAACTCGTTCATTCACCCAATCACACCCATTCACACAAGCACTTTTCTAAGTTTGTAGTGCTATCTAACTAACTAACATTCATACTCTGATGGAGTTAGTATATTGCCAAAGGATATTTAGCATGCAGATTGGAGCAGACTAGGAACGAACCACCAACTTCCGGTTAGTAGGTGACCTGCTCTGTAGCTAGTAGCTAGTTAGCAGGATTAGGTTAACTGGTGATTCTAATATGCCTGTAGTTGTGAATGTGAGCACAAATGGTTGTTTGTCTGTGTTACTCCCGCGACAGACTGGTGATCTGTACCCCAACTCCCACATTATGGTAGCTGGGTCAGGTCCCCCCCAGTTGATGAATGGTGTGGATTGAAGCCACGCTGTTGTAATAGATGCATCATGGGATTTTTCATTGTTCTGCTGAAATATGAAAGTCCTTCCTTGAAAAAAGATGTTGTCTGAATGGGAGCACGAGTTGCGCAGGTTATCCTGCCTTCTGCACATGTAGTTATAGCACTTAAACTGTCACTTATATTATACCCAGAGGTGGGAAGTAACAAAGTATCAATACTTTGTTAATGTATTTAAGAACTTTCAGGTATCTGTACTTTACTTGAGTAGTTATTTTTCTAGCATTTTTTACTCCCTACATTTTTAAACAAATATTGGTACTTTCTACTTCTTGTGTTTTGAAAATAAGCCCAAACAAAAGTTGAGCACAAAAAGAGCAATGTTTTTTTATTGTCAGGTATTTTCAAATACATTTCTATCATCTCAACAAACATCTGTGAACACACAACCTGTTTGTGTGTAGTTTGTCACACGGTGTGTTGCTAGCTAAAGGTTCAGCTGCTTATTTCAGAGGGAGAGAAAAGAAAGAAAGCTTACATGTAAGTTCACATATAATCTTGATGTTGTGTTCACTCTGATGTAAATTAGCCCCATCTGAGTCTGTGAGTTTAACAGTTACAAAGTCGGCTGCCTTTTTGTTTACTTCGGTCTTTAAAAGGTAATTTTAGATCTCAGTGACATTTTCAACTGGATGAACAAATATAATAAAATATTTGTACTACTGGCTTTTACAGCTTATTTCACAGGAGTGAATATATATATATATATAGAGAGAGTGAGAGATAGAGATAGAGAGATCTTAATGCTGAGAAAAACAAAACTGCCCACATAGACTGTGCTTTATTCACTTTGAATAAACAAACTTGTAAAAGCAACTTTAACAATATTATTTTGGACTTAAATGCACAAAAAGGGCAATATTTGTGTGGGCTGAAGTCATGTGCAGTGTAAAAAGATCTTTTAGTGCTCCCTCCTGGCAGATCTGTGTATATGCAGAAAGAGAAAAAGTCACATTAAGTCGTTTTCTGTGTACAAACGTCATGTTTGTCAGAAGCAGTAACCAATGAGGATGAACTCCAACAAGTACAAGCTCACCTTTTGAACTGCACATGTTTTAAGTTAAGCCTTTAGTCAAAACAACACCTCTGAAACGGACTGACAGGACTCAAGTGCAGCCTTTTTTCTAATGTGTGTGTGCGTGTGGAGTCCTGCCTGTGCCCCTCAGCAATAACATTTAGCTATTAATCACAATTTTGGTAAATAAAAGGAACGGGCGCGCATCAGTCACATGATGACCATTAACCAATCCTCGCCATTGACAACAGAGGAGCCGGGAACGAGCACGCAAAGAGCACGCGCATTGTTTTCCTCCTGGACTGTGCGGAGCTGTAAGAGAAACACAAATGAACTGGGAAACCAGACTGATGCCGCAAAAAACAGTAAGCAGGGTGTACAACGTACACTTCAGTCTTCAGCACACGGGAGTATTAGCTTATTATGTACACGTTGGCAAGTTGTCTTGTGGCAACTGACGAATTGAAACACATGAGCGTGCTGTGTTTGCGACACACAACAACTGTCCTTTTATAACCCCACAAGTAGTGCTGGTCATGGGTCTGTAGCTCTGTCCACCGTTTTAGGGACATATTTAGTTTTAAAGTAAGTTACAGGGCTTTCCCCTGCCTTTCTGGGGTGCTTATTTTTCACTGAAAACTATCTAATATGCATAGCCACGTAATTATGGATTATTATAATTACGCTATAAAATCACTGTAGTTTAAAGAAAATACATTAAAAACAGATTATATTCGATTAATATTTCAAATATGACCAAATGCCGATTTTACAGGAACAAAATTATTGTATCTTTACACGGATAAAATAACAAGCTTTCTGCCTTGCGCAGTGGATAGTCAAACAAACTGAATAATCAAAAAGACATATTGTTTATAGAACTAGGAATAAATATTAAGGGAAGGATTCTGGATCAGCACCATAATGCAAACTTGTGGCCATAGTATATACAGTATTCTGGAAAAAGTATAAAATATCACTGTGTGTGTGTGTGTGTGTGTGTGCATGTTTTATGTAACAGACTTTATTTAAATTAAAACTTATAAATAAAAACAATAATAAACACAATTACAATAGTTTGGTTCTATAACATTTTTCTATCATTATTATGGATTAGGCGCAAGAATTGTTAAATTTTGATTATTAAATAATAGATGCAATAGCAAACTGTGCCTTGTTATCAGATAAACAGCAAGTGGAGAGTGATAGATCACATGAGGAGATGGAAGGAGGAAGAGTCGCCAAGAGTGAGTCACATCAGAGACTAGATTATGTCCCACAGTTTTGTTTTGTTTTTAATCTGTTGCCTTATGGTTCCAAACGCTGTCACCAATCTTTGCATTTTTATTACTATCTCATAACACTTGTTTAATCAGCTAACACCTCTACTATGGACTTTTTAATGGGAACATATTAAGTTTGTCAGATCAACACAGCCCTTATCAGCAGCAGGAGCAGCAGCAACCCCTCAACAGCAACATTGTTCCCCATCAGGTTAAAAAAAGGCTACGTTTGCTTTGCGTTGTCCCCACCTGATGACAATGATATATTTTGATAAGATTCCATATTAGATTATTGATGAATGTGGGTTTTTGTTATTCGGCCTGGTTCTGTGCGCCCCTTTTTAACTTTGAGAACCCGCCCCTTCAAAGATCTCTGCACGGCCCTGTGTCCAGATAAATGAGAGGTGTGACCCTCCCATTGTTTGTGTTTCCTCCAAGTTCTTGAACCGGGCATCCTGTTTGGTGCTCACTAAAATGCTGGCTTGTGTCTTAATCCTATTTCAGACTAAGAGATCGGACTAGAGCAACACAGGACGATGAAGGACCACATAGTCTGGCTCATCTGTACAGTGGCTGTTGGTAAGATTTGAAACAGGTTTCCTCCATTTGAAATAGACAGAGATCCTTTGTTTGTCTGGGGAAAGAGTTGTGGGAGTTTTTCTGAATATGGACTTTGTGTATGCACTTCAAAAACAGGCAAGTGATTTCTTCCACATGCTCCCACTTTTAGAAACAAAGCCAATTCAGTTCTATTTACATAGTACTAAATTAAAACAACAATCATTATATTATAAGGTAAAGACCATACAGTAATGTGGCAAAAAGGACGCCTCTGAAACTGATGAAATCTTCCCTTAAACCTTTGTGGAATTGTTTGTGTTACGTTAAAAGAGCAGATTGTATGAGTATCTGTGTTATAGATCGAAATTTATTGTATTATTTTTAGACACTCTCTCATTTCAAATGTGTAAAGAGTAATAAATATATCCAATGTTCCTCTGATCCTCTAGGATAAGCTAGCTAACTATACGTAATCACATTCAGGAGCTGGAATTCCTGAATGTGTTATGTGTTCCTGCACATGTGTTATTATAGTTAACAAAAAGTGGCCTCCTCCTAACCAGAGAGGGAATTGTTTTACTATGGAGGGAATGGTTTTTTAACTGATGAAGTACACAGAGCTCACATACAGTGGAGGAAATATTTATTTGATCACTCAGAAAACAATGAGTTGCCGGGGGGGAGCGACAGCGCAGCTCGAGAGAACCCAGCAAACAGATCTTCCAGGGCCTGGGTCTGGCGCTCTGCCTGGTCCTGTAGTTTCTGCAGTTGTTGTCAGCTACCCAGTCAGAGCGCAGGGGTTTCCAGTAGTTTATTGACTGTGTTGTCATCTCGATTGAACAGTAAAATATATCGGTCACTGGAAATGTATCAGGAAAGCCCACCCAAGTAAACGGTGTGTGAGAAACACCATATATAGAAAAACGTGTTCATAGATAATGAGTGTGACAAGGCTCATTCATGGATTCCCTCCAAGCACAGAATACCAACGGTTCATTCAGCTCTCACAAACACATTATCTCAGCTCACATATACAGTGTTGTGGAAAAGGCTTTGCCCCCTTCCTGATTTCCTAATTTTATATGTTTGACATTGAGTCCTTTACAGCTCTGTGGAAGAATTTTGGCCCACTCATCTTTGCAGTATTGTAATTCAGCCATATCAGAGGGTTGCTGAGTTAGTTTTATGCCAGATATAATGGGACACACAGCTTCCAAAAAGTCAACTTTTGTCTCTCCAGTCCACAGAGTATTTTCCCGAAAGTCTTGGGGATCAAAAAGATGTTTTCTGGCAAAAATTTATATTTCGCACATAGCCATATAGGGTTAGATTATTTCTCACTCCATAAATACAATCATTTAGAATATGCATTTTGTTTTTACCTGTGTTATCTTTGTCTAATATTTAAATTTGTTTGATGATCTGAAAGTGTGACAAACATGCAAAAAAAACGAAATCAGGAAGGGAGCTAACATTTTTTTACACCTTTGTAAAAAGTGGACCTGCCCTGTTATCAAGTCCAGTTCTGGGCGTGCTCTTTTCATATTCCTTTTTTCACACTAGCTTCTCACCCCGTTCCACCATGTGCTCTTTGTACTGCCTCTTCTTCAGGCCCCAGCATGATACTGAAATAGGAAGAGACTGACTGATGCAAAGTGATCAGTCTTACCCGACTCACTGCCCCCAAATGATTCAGGCACACCTTTCCCATCTGCAGCAGTGCAAAAACCATTTCCTGTATAAGCTGTGCTTTTTGTTTATTGGTGATGCAGGTTTCATTTAGGGTATTAAAGTCTTAGTTAGTATCAATTTCATGCTTTTCACTTTCTCAGCTTCAACCATCCCTGCCTGTTTGGCTTTTAATATTGACACAAGAAATCCTGAAGTCTTTCTGGGTGAACCAGGTGATTTCTTTGGATACCGAGTGCTACAGTACTTGAACAAGTCTAGTAATAACAAAGGGTAAGTTTGACTCAAGACATCGTATAATACTGTATCCTGTGAGTGATCTAACACTGTTGAAAGCACTAATTAAAACTCTTCTGCTGCACTTCAAACCCAACGTTCAACGTAATTACATAGATTTAGTAGAAAATTTAGTAATAATTTAGTAAAAATCTATTTTTTTAAATAAATATTTAAGTTTCTGTAACATTTCTTCCTTTTTAAGTGCATGAAACTAATTGTTTTTGACTAATTTGAAATACTGCATGGATGAAGGGAACCACATTTAACAGTAATTTCAAGGAACTGAAGTCAAATGTCCTTTAATACTGTAATGAGCAGGCATAAGCAGGCACGAGGCGCAGTGAGTGAGTAGCTAGTTATTTACTGTGACTGGTATCACATGTTGGAGTGTGCAGTGTGATGCTTTCCTTATTAAAGAAAAAATATATTTCGGATGAATTTAAACCATTCTGATCCTTTTACAAAGTGTGTAATCACCTTTGGTGTTCTGACTCTGTTCCTCCAATCTTCTCTCTGTGTTTGTTTGTCTGTTTTGTTCCCCCGCTTATGTCAAGTTAATCTCATCTCCTTTTTCAGTTTTCTTCCTATTGTAAGTTTGGATATTAATATAAAGGAGTACAAATATATCCTAAAAACTTTCATATTTAACGAACCATCTATTCTTCAAAGCCTGAATATCTAAATAAAGTGGGAGGAGAGATGGTAAATGGACTGGTTCTTTAGCTGTTTAGCACTTAAACACTGATGACCCATCATAGCAGAACAGAATTCCAGCAGTGATAGGGGATAGGAGAGGACCCCCTGGAGTTTAGACACTGGTGGTGGTGTTGAAGATGCAGAGGCTTGGATGGGGGTGAGACAGGTTTTACAAACAAGTGAATGAGTACTGAAACTTAAAGCAGTCAGAGTGGAGAGTGATTGGCTCACAGAAGGCAGGCAAGAAAATGACTGGACTAGAATAATGAGGTTGGTATGAATTTGACACGGCACGGTGGTTAGCACTGTTGCTGCACAGCAAGAAGGTCCTGAGTTCAATTCCACCATCAGGCCGGGGTCTTTCTGTGTGGAGTTTGCATGTTCCCTCCGGGTACTCCGGCTTCCTCCCACCGTCCAAAGACATGCAGCTTGTGGGGATAGGTTAATTGGATAATCCAAATTGCCACTAGGTGTGAATGAATGTGAGTGTGAATGGTTGTCTGTCACTTGTGTGTTGGCCCTGCGACAGACTGGCGAACTGTCCAGGATGTACCCTGCCTCTCGCCCTATGACAGCTGGGATAGGCTCCAGCGCCCCCCGCGACCCTGAAAAGGAGAAGCGGAAGCGAATGGATGGATGGATGGATGAATTTGACAGCGTGGGAAAATGTAAGCAATGTAGAGAATAGACTAGGAGCTGAAGACCCAGGAAAGCAGGCAGATGATTACAGACCCTCCCCATAGAACTTATGCATAAACTTCATTAACTAATTAGTGTCATCATTTTCCACAGGATAGTCGTCACTGCACCTCTCAGGCTAAATGGATCTGGAGGAATTTACCAACCTCACCAAAACAAGTGGTTCAAACCTACTGGTATCAACAGAATATTACACAACTTACAACTAAATACATTACTGTAAAAGTTTGTGTATTTTATAATAAAATGCTTCAGTTGCAGAGGACCTGCAGTCAAACACAACAGCAGTCAAACATCTTGGCTTGTCGATCGCTGCTGATTCCTCCGGCTCCAGATTCACTGTGAGTAAATCACTCTCTCTCCTCATCACTGTGAGCAAAACAAATTAATATGCAGAGCTTTATTTAACTTTTATGCTCTGATTTAGGTTTGCAGTCCAAGTTTGGTGCATGAATGCAATGAGAACTCCTATCTGAACAGTATTTGTTATGAGCTCTCTGATCAACTCCAGAAAATCTCCTCTTTCAAGCCTGCGTATCAAGGTAAAGTGTTCCTCCATGTTTATTTTAGTAAAAGTAAGTAAGTAAAATGTATTTATATAGCCCTTTTTACAGATAAAATGACAAAGTGCTTCACAATAAAACCAGAAATATAAATATAACCTTTGTGCCGCTGCCTGAAAAGCCCACATGCTTTGAACCTAGTATGTGGGACCAACAGTAACCTCTGACCTGAAGACTTAAGAGTTCGGGAAGAAGGAAGAGGTGCTCAAAGCTCAGAGATATACTGGGGAGTTTCATCATGTTGTACATTCTGTACAGTCTGAAGGCGATCCAATGATGATTCGCTGAAACAAGTAATCAGAGCGTTACAGTAATCTGAAGAGAGATGAAAGTAGAATAATCCTTTTCTCTCCCCACATGCCACTGCCATTCTTGTTTATAGCCTGGTCACTTCCCGGATCGATTACTGCAACTCTCTTCTTTTTGGTCTTAGTCACAAATCTATCCATAAGCTTCAACGTGTCCAGAACTCTGCTGCTCGTATTATCACCAGGACCCCTTCTATGCACCACATCACCCCTGCTCTGCAGTAGCTTCACTGGCTTCTGGTTAAATACCACATCAATTTCAATATAATTTTGTACATATTCAAGGCTATACATCATCTCTCGCCTTCATACCTCTCTGACCTGGTTCAAATCACCATCCCTTCTCGGTGTCTCAGATCCTCCTCTTCTCTTTCTCTTTCCATCCCTTCCCCCCGGCTAGCCACCATGGGGCGCAGGGCTTTCTGTTGCTCTGCCCCCCGTCTTTGGAACTCCTTCCACCTGAGATAAGAAACATCACTTCCCTCCCTCTTTTTAAGTTCAGACGCAAAACTCAGCTATTCACATTAGCCTATTCCACATAAATCTTTCCATCCTGCTACTTTAATTTATTTTATATATTTGCTCAACATTTTATCCTTATTATTTTGTAAATTGTTACGTTTGTTGTTGTTATAGCTTGTGTACAGTGTCCTCGAGTGTTTTTTAAAGGCACTTTCTTAAATAAAAATGTATTAATATTATTATTATTTTGATTTTGTCTGTATTTAACTGGAGGAAGTTGCCATTAACCATTGTTTGATTTCTGACAGACAATTATTTAAACAAGACCATTTATAAAACTTAGAAGCTTTGAAAGAACAATATAACTGAATGTCATCTGCACAGAGGTGATAAGAACTATTACTGCAACGTCTGATAATTTGGCCTAGAGGGATTATATAAAGCAAAAAGAGAATCAAACCCGAAACAAATCATTGAGGGACCCCACAGGGCAGAACTGATGTTTCAGACAAAATTTGATACATACAGACAGTAAAAGATCTTTCACATATATGCAACATGAACCATTTCAAAACAACACCAGTAATCCTAAACAAGCCCTTAAGCCTATTTATCATGATCAATGGTATTAAAGCAGAGGTGAGATCCAGTAGAACCAGAATTGTTTACTTTCCAAAGTCTGCTGTGATCAAAATGTCACTAGGCATGTTACAGTGGGGCAAAAAAGTATTTAGTCAGCCACCGATTGTGCAAGTTCCCCCACTTAAAATGATGACAGAGGTCAGTAATTTGCACCAGAGGTACACTTCAACTGTGAGAGACAGAATGTGAAAAAAAATCCATGAATCCACATGGTAGGATTTGTAAAGAATTTATTCGTAAATCAGGGTGGAAAATAAGTATTTGGTCACCTCAAACAAGGAAAATCTCTGGCTCTCACAGACCTGTAACGTCTTCTGTAAGAAGCTTTTCTGTCCCCCACTCGTTACCTGTATGAATGGCACCTGTTTGAACTCATCATCTGTATAAAAGACACCTGTCCACAGCCTCAAACAGTCAGACTCCAAACTCCGCCATGGCCAAGACCAAAGAGCTTTCGAAGGACACCAGGAAAAGTATTGTAGACCTGCACCAGACTGGGAAGAGTGAATCTACAATAGGCAAGCAGCTTGGTGTGAAAAAATCAACTGTGGGAGCAATCATCAGAAAATGGAAGACATACAAGACCACTGATAATCTCCCTCGATCTGGGGCTCCACGCAAGATCTCATCCCGTGGGGTCAAAATGATCATGAGAACGGTGAGCAAAGATCCCAGAACCACACGGGGGGACCTGGTGAATGACCTGCAGAGAGCTGGGACCAAAGTAACAAAGGTCACCATCAGTAACACACTACAACGGCAGGGAATCAAATCCCGCAGTGCCAGACGTGTTCCGCTGCTGAAGCCAGTGCATGTCCAGGCCCGTCTGAAGTTTGCCAGAGAGCACATGGATGATACAGCAGAGGATTGGGAGAATGTCATGTGGTCAGATGAAACCAAAGTAGAACTTTTTGGTATAAACTCAACTCGTCGTGTTTGGAGGAAGAAGAATACTGAGTTGCATCCCAAGAACACCATACCTACTGTGAAGCATGGGGGTGGAAACATCATGCTATGGGGCTGTTTTTCTGCCAAGGGGACAGGACGACTGATCCGTGTTAAGGACAGAATGAATGGGGCCATGTATCGTGAGATTTTGAGCCAAAACCTCCTTCCATCAGTGAGAACTTTGAAGATGAAACGAGGCTGGGTCTTCCAACACGACAATGATCCAAAACACACCGCCCGGGCAACAAAGGAGTGGCTCCGTAAGAAGCATTTGAAAGTCCTGGAGTGGCCTAGCCAGTCTCCAGACCTCAACCCCATAGAAAATCTGTGGCGGGAGTTGAAAGTCCATGTTGCTCGGCGACAGCCCCAAAACATCACTGCTCTCGAGAAGATCTGCATGGAGGAATGGGCCAAAATACCAGCTACTGTGTGTGCAAACCTGGTAAAGACCTATAGTAAACGTTTGACCTCTGTTATTGCCAATAAAGGTTATGTTACAAAGTATTGAGTTGTATTTTTGTTATTGACCAAATACTTATTTTCCACCCTGATTTACGAATAAATTCTTTACAAATCCTACCATGTGAATTCATGGATTTTTTTTTCACATTCTGTCTCTCACAGTTGAAGTGTACCTCTGGTGCAAATTACTGACCTCTGTCATCATTTTAGGTGGGGGAACTTGCACAATCGGTGGCTGACTAAATACTTTTTTGCCCCACTGTAAGTAAAGTGGTTTCAGTGGAATGCAATTTGCTCAAACCAGACTGGAAAAGGTCCATTACGTTGTTTTCTTCAAAAAGTAGTTAAGTTATTCTGCTACTGTTTTTTTCAACAATATTTAATACAAATGGTAATTTTGACCTGTAACTGCCTGGAAGAGTTATGATTAAATATGTTTTATTTTTCCAGAATGCACCAAAAAGACAGTGGACCTCGTCTTTCTGTTTGATGGATCAGCGAGTATGACTGAAGAAGAATTCAACAGAAATAACGATTTTATTGTGGAGATAATGGACAGCCTGAAGAACATGTCGATCAAGGTCAGTTCACTACTGCAACATTTAAGCATTCACAGCTTTTATTTGTTAAGATATATTTACCGTTTAGTGTCGTATCTAAATAATTTATGTTGGTTTTTCAGTTTGCAGCAGTTCAGTTCTCCTCAACAGTCCACAAAGTGTTTGACTTCAACGACTATAAAGCCGGACGTGCTCTTGATAAACTCATGAAAGAAAATCATTTAAAAGGTCTCACCAACACACACAGAGCCATCGAATTTGTTCTGTAAGTTCAGTTATAATAAAAGAAGAAAGGCTCAACACAACTGTGACATTATTTGCATCTTAAGTTTGTTGATTTACTGTTAATGTGTTCATGTTCACAGCTTGGTTTATTGTGTTACAAAAGCTGTTTTTACTTTTGTTTCAGTGATCAAATCTTTGACAACCCAGCTGCAGGCGCCTCTCCTGATGCAACTAAAGCTCTGATTCTAATCACAGACGGAGATCCCTCTGATACAGACAGAAAAGGGATAATTAAAAAATATGATGAGAAAAATATAATTCGTCTTGTTATTGGGGTAATGTCATATATCATGTCTCCTCTTTTGTCACGTTTGGTTTCTTCTGTTCACTTCTGTATAACAATCAATGCTCTTTTTAATATATGTGATGAATATGAGTTTATTGTTGTGGGTCAGAACAAGTAAATTCCAATTTTTATTCTAATATTGTGTTCTTTTTCTTATGCTGATGTCAGACTTGGAACTCCTTCATGTTTTAAAGCTGTGTTCTGGTTTCAGATCAAGGATGCAAAGCTGGATAAATTTAGGGCCATCGCTTCAGAACCAAAAGACAAAAATGCCTTCAAAATTGAGAATTATGATGGACTCACAGGAGTACTGGAGAATTTTCAGAAAGATGTCTTTGTTATGGAAGGTGGGGTCTAATTTCTTTCAATCAAGAATCAAGAATTCATGTCATCTCATCTTCCACATGTGCAGCTGTAACGTGTACTCCCTGATGGTCCATATTTAGGTTCCAAAGGGGCTCAAGCAAGAAACCTGACTGATGAAATGTCTCAGAGTGGATTCAGCGCTATTTTCAACAAGGTGAGCAAAATCTATCTGAGCACCCTAAAGAATCATCTGGAAATCAGACTAAAGCAGGGGTCTCAAACTTAAATGAGCTGTGGGTCACTGCCTGCACTGTCATCTCATGTGAGGGCCACTTTTAGTGTTCAGTAGTACAAACAAGAAAACACCCACAAATATTTCCCAAAATGTAGTGTTTTGTTTGTTTGTTTTTTAAATTTCAAATATTGTATAACAAGACAAAACTGCAAACATGAATGCACATTTTTTCTCACACTTAACTAACTTAAGCCTTTCATTGACCTACCAAATAAGCGAATTGGTACTCTCTTTCTGGCCAGACACAAGTGCAGACATAAATGTACAGTGAAGGGCCAAATTGCATTATATTTCTTCATATCAATATACGGAGTTTGAGTGAAGGACTTTATCCATGCTAAATTTAGCACTTCAGCATCCTTAAAACTTTTCTGCTGCTGACTAACTGGAAAATGAGTCCAGCTGCAGCAGGTCAGATGACACAGTTGATCTTCCGCTTCCTTTTCTAACCATACCTGGGATTCCTGTTTCATTACACCTGCACATTCCTGTTTATAGGATACACTGATTCTGGGTTCAGTGGGAACAAACAGCTGGCGTGGTTCTCTCCAAGAACGTCGAGATAAAACAGAAACAATTGAGGATCAAGAAATGGAGATGGACTCCTACATGGGTAAACTTTATTTACACATTATCTGATGTTTCTTTTTTAAAAATAAGATTTCGTTATTTGGCTCAACACTTGAACAAATGAACTTTGGAAGGTTCCAGTCTAAATCAGTTTTAATATCTTCCAAGTACAACAAATACACACATTAGTTTTTCAAATAAAAACATGTTGTGTGTTATATTTGCCTCTTGCAGGATATTCTGTCTCTGTTGGAGAGAGAGGTGGGGTTTCTTTGTATTTCACGGGTGCACCCCGGTTTCAGCACACAGGACAGGTTGTACTTTTCAAACAAAACAGCAACAACTGGACCACAGCACAAAGAATAACTGGAGACCAGGTCGGTTACTTATATGGTAATTTTACTCTTCATATGGCTCAGTTTGTTTTTGGAAGTCATTGTGTGTCACCATGTCATTGTTGATACCTGATTGTAGTGTTGCCTTGAAATAAATGCAAATTTTCTTGATCAAATCTACTGTTATTTCTATTTTAAATCACTTCTATGTGTAGATCAGTGATTCACATTAACAATTATAGAAAGGTGCTCTATATTATAAAGTAAAGACCGTGAAATATTAGAGAACCACAACAAGCAGACGATCAGCATGATCAAACACTTGATTGAACTCTAGTAACAGGAACAGACCTCTAGCAGACTGGTTGAGATAAAATAAGACAGAAAATAAGAGCATGGAGATAAACCACAAATGTCAAACATGACAAAACACAAGCTAAAGGAGAGAGAAGACAGAAGTCACCAAGGTGCTTTAGTGATATCCCTAAATGATATAAATCTATAATTAAAACAACACTGAACTAATGATATAACTAACTTGTCAGATCGGTTCCTACTTCGGCGCCGAGCTGTGTTCGGTGGATATTAACTCAGACGGTGACACTGATTTCCTGCTGGTGGGAGCGCCAACGTTTTACCAGCTTCAGGAGAAGAAAGAAGGTCAGATCTACATCTACACTCTGACTGATGAGGTGAGCCACCACTTTGTGATATTACAGTGTGACATTCAATGCTTTCATGATCAAACTCAATGAACTAATCTCCTCTTTTCTCATAGCTGCAACTGAAAAGTGAACTGATTGTGATGGGACCATCCATGGGTAGATTTGGCACCACCATATCCAGCCTCGCAGACCTGAATGGAGATGAACTCCGAGACGTTGCTGTCGGAGCTCCGCTTGAGGATGATAACAGAGGTGCTGTGTATATCTACCATGGCAACAAGCAGAGAGGAATATGCAGCACTTTCAGCCAGGTGAGAGACGGACAGAGGCAAAAAGGTGACCATAAATAATCAGCAATTTCAGTTTCCCTTCTTATGAATCCCTGCTTATCAAACTATATAAACATAAAAGATATTTAAAGCTACTGTGTCATCTTCATCTGGTTATTACATTCCTCAGGAGCCCCTTGAAGTTAAAAACTTCATTCTGCAGGACACTGGGCCAATGACTTCAGATATGAAAACACCTTATTTTTATAAAAATTCTTGGTCTTGGACCTGGGGTTTAAATATTGGACTTTATTGTTCTATATTGGTTTCTCAGTTGCTTATCAGTAGTATATAACTGATAGGTTTGCTCGTTCACGTACGTGCACGCACACATTCACATTCATGCATGTGAACATGTGCGTGCACTACCCTATCCAGAACTGACAGGCTTGCTCGTTGACGTAAACCCCGCACCTGTTTCCTCCTAGTGGGTGTGTTTTAATTAGGTTTTAATGTTTTCTCTGTTGATGATGTATTTTGGTTTTCAGTGTGAATTTATACAAACAGGAATTACTTTTTTATAGATGGAGGATCCAATTTTTTAATGTTGTTTTATCCTAACACTATGGAAAAGCCCTACAACAAGACTTGTTTGTTTTTAATCAGCAATCTGAAAGCTACATTTTCTGGATTTGTTTTTTAACTTGGAAAATAAAGCCTTATAAGAGTATTACTATTTCTAATTGTGGAGTGGAAGACCTATTTGGTTTTTTGGATGTTAGAAGCAACCTTATTGGATTTGTTTGACCCCCGTTATCTTACCCTCTGCAAGTCAAATTGTCAGTTAGACCAACACACGATCTTGCTCAACCTCCTGTTTTGCTTTCCTTTTATAGCTCTTTCCTGTTGGAGGACGTATTGTTTAAATCATGTGTAGTCTGTCTGAGAAAACGCAGTCCAAACCTTTGAAATGTCCTTTCATCAAAAACATTTGATGTCTGATGGCCAGCATTTGTTTCCCGAGAATTTGGACACCTACGGACATGTGAGGGCGTCCTGGTGTGTATCCTCAGTTACCCCCACCCAGCTGACACGTTTGCTCATCCATGTAAATGAAGTATTTTAGGGATCTACATTTCTAAATGTAAGACAAATACCATGTATTGAGTTCGGTGCCATCTTCAAGCGTAGACGTGTTATTAACAGGCCATATATTATTTAATTCAGTGTAATTATACGTAGTACACTAAGTATTTCGGTTTTCAGTGTGAATTTTATAAAAAAAGGAATTATTTTTTTAAACATGCAGGATCAAATTATTTAATGTTGCTTTATCCTTACACTGTGGAGAAGCCTTAAAGAAAGGCCTTCCTTGCGTTTGCGTATCAGATTTGTTTTTAACTTGATAAAACACAGTGTTAATCTTTTTTTTTTTCTTAAATCAGCTTTTTCACAGGTATCTGGGAAAACGCAGGACAACTTGCGTGAACTACCCTCCAGAACTGTCTAGAGTTCAAAGACTATGCGTCTCTTTTTTTTGCCTGTCCCGTTTGGCTCTTTTGCCATCAGAATTATTGTCTAAAGGCGAAGAAAGATGCCCAACGGATTTACTTTACCAAATGGACCATCCCAGACTTGCTGTAATGGTCTATTTGATTCACCTTTTATTGTTTATTTTATTTTCACTTGCTAAATACGGGACAGACTTGACTGGGGAAAAGAAAGGGGAGAAAGAAAGAGGGAAAGAAAAACAGCGGGGAAGAGTAACGGTGATAAAGGGCAAAAAACAAAAACCAACAAAATAAACAGACAAAAAATACATATATCAATCACCTGGATCACCTGTTGAGAAAGAAAAAAGAGAAAACAAGCAGAAAAAAAAACAATATAATAAACAACATCATCACGATGATCTATGGGAATATAACAGTAAATACTAAATATTAAACATTATTGTGCAGCACGTAAGATCGACAGCACACAGTGTGCTTTGAGGTAGCAGCCAAAAAGGGTGTAGTTTGTGGGTGTGATCACCCGTGTGTACACCTGTGAGCATGAGCGCGCTTGTATTTAAAAGGTTCCCTCATGTAATGATCTGCTAGAGGGTGTGGGGGAGCCACAGCCCTATCCCCCAGGGCATGAAGCAGGTATGGAGGAGATCAAGACTCCAGACATCCAGAGGCCCCAAGAGCAAAGGAGACCAAGGAAGAACAAAAGAGGGGCAGCCGCGCCACTATCCCAGAAAGAGCTGAGGAGAGCCCCAGATGAGGGGTCACACAGCAGCCGCGGAGCAGAAGACAGGGGGGGTTGCAGTGACGCGCCCGGGAGCTCCGCCGGCAGCCAGCCGTGCCAGAGTGACCGAGCCCCAGGCTGAGAGGCCGAGGGCACCCCACCCCCGAAGTGGCCCGAGCGAGCCACAGGCGCCAGGCCCCGATAAGCGGCCGCCAAGGAGTGAGCCGGTGTGTACCTGGACGCCCATCCCCGGACACAAAGAACCACCAACGCACCGATGTCTGAGGGAGTCCGCCACTGGCAGGGGGAGTGGTGGTAGGGGGAGATAGGCCTCCATACCTTGGAGGGCCTGAGGTGTCCCCAGAGAGGTGGCGTCTGATACCCGACCTGACATATAGACACAGACATACAGGCACACACAGACACAAACATCCATTCCCACCCTCATGCTCTCATATGCAATTACTCAACACTCACCCAACGTGGAGACAGACATAAAGAGACGCTGTACACACGATCACACTCCCCAAGCGTACTCTAAGCCCCAGGTCTAGGTACCCTTGCCCCTGGAGGGGGAAACTGCACCCAGACCCAGGTGGTATTACCCTTTTCCCTGCGGTGGGGGGAGGCAGACCACCCCGACTCCGCAGCAGCAGGGAGGCCCCACATTCCAGACCCAATCGGACGGCCAACTCCTCCTCCTGGCCCCCCCGCTCCAGCAGGCAGCAGAGAACGGGGGTTTGTGAAGACTCCAAACCTCCCTCCGCCCGCTCATTGTAGTGTTGATGCATGTGTGTTCTAAGGTGCATTTAAAACCCAGGAGGGCATGGAGCTACCTGCCAGAGAGCAGCAGGTAAGCGCATAGCCCCCCCTGATAGCCCTCAATGTCTACGTGTATTTAAAATTGAGAGGTGGGCAACGACGCCAGGGTGAGGTGTACACCCTGATGGTAACTTGGATTCCGTGTATCGTGCCCACCCCCAAGATCCTATATGTATGTGTAATGAGAGTGTGAGTAATGTGAATGTCTAAGTTGTGGGATAAAATTGAGGCAGAGGCAGCCAGAAGGGGACAGAGGGGGGGGTAGCCTCCTCTGCACCCTGGTGACATACCCCTACTCCAAGGCCCTGCATGTGTGGGCGATTGTGGTGGACCGGGAAGAGGGAGGCAGCTGGAGATGGGGAGGGAAGGCCTGTGTGTCTCTTTAAAATCGTAGATGTTGAATTTTAGGCTACATGTTATTTATCTCCCACTGAGTCTGTTTGTCATATGCTATGTATAAAGGCTCTGGACCTTTCCAAAATGGCATAGATCTGGCTTTAGTGTGATTAATTTACCACAATTTCAATTTCTGGGACGTTTTCAATTTTCACTCCTGTGACTACGACGAGTGTGGCTAGTTTTTTGTCTATTTGTGAAACTGAGCATGGGTGTGGACACTTCAAACTATACTGAGTGATGTGAGTTTTGTGCTGGATCACTTTCTTCAATTGTTAATTTTCTGGGAGCCCTGAAGACCCAAATTAGGGCTTTCAAGTTTTGCCCTGCCCCCCGGTCTGTGCAAGGTTGTGCGGCAAATCCCAATGTGGATGTTGAAGGTCCAGCCAGTCGGCGGAAAGACCAATTGATGCCTGGACGTGCATTGGAGCCGCAAAAAAAAATTGGATCCTCCATCTATAAAAAAACAATTCCTGTTTGTATAAATTCACACTGAAAACTGAAATACACTCCTAATCAAACAGATAAAACATTAAAACCTAATTAAAACACACCCACTAGGAGGAGACAGGGGGTTACGTCAACGAGCAAAGCTGTCAGTTATATACTACTGTTATCTACGTTTCTGCATAGAACATATTATATTTGTTCCCTTAGTATTTTCTCCCTCATTCTCAGGTGTCTTTATTCATGTCAGATAGCTGAAAGGCTACTACGTGCAGTGGACCCAAAAACAGACTCAGAGTCTGCTTACTTGGAAAGTGGGGAGTAGGGATGGGTATCGTTTAGGTTTTATCCGATACTGGTGCCAAACCGGTACTTTTGAAACAGTGCTGGTGCTTAACCGGTGCTTAAAGAATGGAAAACACAAACTTTGTCCAAAAACCTCTCATGTTTAGCTGTTTTTTTGTAAAAAGATAACAATGTTAGCCTTTTTTGCAGCTATGGGGCATATATGGCATCACTCTTGGCTGGAAGCAGTGCTTAAACAATGGAAAAACACCAACTTTGTCCAAAAACCTCTCATGTTTAACTTTTTTCCACTTTTTCTTTGGTCATTTTAGCCTTTTTGGCCAGGGTGAAGGGAGTATCTGCCATCAAACAAGAAGACAGCCGCATGTAACTATGATGGTGTTTGCTAGTTCACCTTACATGCATTCATTTAATAACGTGGTTAGCCTACTCAACGTAAATTACACACGAACAACATTAAGCTCCTCACGCAGAGAAGAACGGCTGCTGCTGCATCATCATCCTCATCATTTCTGCTACACTGGCAGGGCTAGGGGCCAGGACTCTCCTCTTCGGGTTCTTGGGGATGTTGCTAACTCCGGGTCTGATAACAGGCACCACACCCGCAGTAGATGTGCTCGGTGTGAGCTCTTGCAGCAAGCTATCAAATACGGTGCATTTCTTGGCTTTTAAAAAAACGCTATGCGTTGCCAGGTGTTTCATCAGATTCGAGGTGTCACCTCCTTTGACAGTATCAGCTTAAAGCACTTGTTGCAGGCTGCTGAGTTTGCATCTTTTGCTGTGAAGTACAGCCAGACTTTTGACCGCTTCGCCTTGAGCATTTTTAATCTGTAGCTCTGCTCTAAAAGAACGTACGTACCTGGGCCCGCCTACTATCCTTGGAAAGGTAAAATGATTGGCTAGAATCCAAAGTGTACGACATCTCAGGAAAAATAGCACCGAAATAAAGCACCGAAATAAAGCACCGAAATAAAGCACCGAAATGTGCGCTGCTTTTCGGTCTGGTTACTACCGTTTACCGGTACCCATCCCTAGTGGGGAGTAGTGCGCTCTGAGGGGGAGTGAACTGGGTGAGTGTCCAGGCTTAAGGTGAACTGAGCAAACCAAGATGTCTGACCTTTTCTCTCCTTTGCACTGACCTGGAGGTAAATGGTGAGAAGGAGGGCAGGCAGGTGAGATGTTTGAGCTTTTGCTTTTTCCAGAGCAGTGATCGAGGAGTAGACTAGCAGCAGAGAGAACCAGTAGAGCAACAGGTAAGTTTCAATGCTGACCCAAGGAAGAGGAAACTGGAGGTGCAGGTAGACTGATGTTAACACTAGGAGTAACAAGGTAAAGCTTAAACATTGAGGCCAATTTATCACCAAGGGGTAGCAGACGATCTGGTGGAGAGTAGAAGTCTGTGCTGTTTATAAATAGCGTCCCGCTGAGTTATTTGTTTCCTTTGCCTTGTGTTTAGTTTATTTCCATCCTTCTATCTCATTGACTTGATTTTCATGTCTCATTATCCTCCTCTGTCCACTTAGCCTTAGCTATTGTCCACATAACAATATTTTCTATTTACACTTTGCCACAGCATCGTATTTCCCTCCTCACAGCAAGCAAAATTATTTGTCCATTTCCAGGTCAGTGACTCCAGTTAGCTGAGGTAAAACCTTGCAGACAGCTAGGAGCACAGTTGTCCAAACAAAACAGCCATCTATCTGTAAACAGAAAAGGCTTCGATGAGAGAGTGAAGAGGAAAATGTATAAATACAACTTTTGTCTCCACCATGCAAGATGAGCATTGTTTTAGCTGTCAAATCTCTTGTTCCAGAGAATCACAGGAAAAGAAGTCACACCTGGGATAAAATTCTTTGGACAGGCCATCGATGGAGCTATTGACCTTGGAGGGAACGGACTCCCAGATATTGTGATTGGATCACAGGGTGCTGCTGTTGTCTTTAGGTATCAGAACTCTGTGCACGATTTATGTTGCTAAGTATTGTACATATCTACCTTACAAAGGCTTGATGCCAAACTACATACAAGATGCAATTATAAAAAACAAAAAATCTTTCCTGACTTAAATTTACTCTCCACCGCTCAGTTTAACTCATTTTGCCCTTTGGATCACTTCCTGTGCTTCTGCTACATGTCGTCCTTAGAAGCCTTGTTCTGACCAGCTGTCTGCACCTTTGCAAAGCGCTCTGCTTCTGCTCTACTATGTCAAAATAGCAACCCTCATACTTTGTGTTTTTTTCCAAAATTAAAATAAAGTTGGAGTTATTTAAATGCAACCTCAGATGGATAGCCACATAACACTCACCAATTAGTTACACTGTGGGAATGTCTTAAAGGCAAAGACCTGGATGGCCTTCAGCTTGCAGGCCCGTCTTTTTTTGGAACCAGCTCCCACATTAGATTCTGGAGATAGCTACCATCACTACTTTTAAGATTAGGCTTAAAACGTTTCATTTTGATAAATTATAACGTTGAGGCTGGATCTGGTGACCCTGAATCTTCCCTTAGATAAGTTAGAACTAGAACCAGCATGCTGTGGATTTTGTACAGTCTTTACCTTACAATACAAAGTGCCTTGAGGTGACTGTTGTTGTGATTTTGTGCCATAAAATTATGTCCTGGCACATAAAACCTTACTACTGAAATGCGGAAGTACGTTCTATTTTGACACGCCTGTTCATAAATGTCTTTCAGGGCCAAGCCCATCTTTGACGTGATGGCTCATCTAACTTTCCAACCTAAGGAGATAAACACTGAGATATTTGATTGTCTGGGTGCCGATGAAAATTTACCTATGGTTACCTTAACAGCCTGTTTTGAAATGGTAAAAGTAACAAAGAGCAAACAAGGTAGGTACCACATCCAGTACAGATAAACAATTAAAAACTGCTGATTGCATCCTGTAAATGCATCATTTCAATTTTGCTTTTCGGGTTTACAGAGGCTGTGAGGTCTGGACTGAACATCACATTCACAGTCGCTGTGGATCCGATGAGACAAAAATATCGAGGTTTCTTCAGTCAAACTGATAAGACAGCCAGAAGTCTTACCTCCACCTATGAGATGCTTGATGAAACAGCTTGTTTTAACTTCTCCATCTACATGCATGTATGAAGCTAATAATATTTGCAAATATACTTAATCTGTTTATAATAAACTTTCCCATTCTGATCTTTGACTTAGCTTTTCTTTACTTTTCCCCATAAAGATGACATTTAATTACTTCAAGAGTTACTCCTAGTAGGCTTTCAAAGGGGTAAAGAGATAAAAGAATAACAGTAATGTTAACCATGATCCTAATCCTTTGTTATCCTGTCCTTTAGCTTTTTTTAAACTCAAACTTTCAGAGATAAACAAATAATTTCTAACTCTATATAACAGATAAACCTTTTGTTCTGGTTTTGCTTTACAGAAATGTGTGAGTGAATTATTGTCACCTATCAGCATCAAATGTAACTTTTCCCAAGCTGACAATGAGACTGCAGCCACCACCCTGAATGTGGACAGCAAACGGCAGTCCGTTGTTGAGGTATGTACGGTGGCAAAACACCATACAATGAAATTAAATGTTAAATGGATCGGTACTTATATAGTGCTTTTCTACTCTACCCTGAACACTGACAGTTGCATTTCAGGGTCAGGGTACTGGGCCGGGGGCGGCATTACCTGGGCTAACGGTACTCTGGGGTCTTGGGTTGCTTAGGGTTAGCATGTGGTTTGTTCAGGTGTTTGCAAAGGCCCAAAGTTCTGTTAGCAACATCATGCATTTGTTTCTGTTCTCGATGCAGTTTCCACTTTACCATCGCATTCTTGTCCTTTGTCCTTCACTTTTGTAAAGATGATGTCCATAACCAGGCTGTAGACTCCGCCAGAGTGATGCTAAAAAAACTAGTTTCATACATTTATTACTTCTAGGCTGGACTACTGTAATTTGTTATTATCAGGATGTCCTGAAAACATCCTGAATCACTTTCAGTTGATCTAAAATTATATAAATGAATTTAAAATCCTGCTCCTCACATACAAGGTCTTAAATAATAAACTTATGGGATAGATAAAGCTTTTGGAATGGCCTTCCCGAAGCCCAAACCTCAGCTCTATTGAAACCTTGTGGACTAAGCTTAGGAGCCAGGTGCGTGCCAGGAAAGCAACCAAATGAACTCTAAAAGTTCTGCTAAGAAAAGTGATCCAATATTCAGCCCTAAGTTTCTTGATGGCTGCCAAAAACATCTGGTTATGTTGCAGCTTGCTAACTAAATATTAGTGGGGTATACATATGTATTTGGGTCGGTATGTATAGTTTTTACCTTGTTTGGATAAATTAAAACTTGTACACCCAATTTGTATTTTTTTTTTTAATTAATTAAAGATATTTCAGTGAACTGTGGCTAATTCCACAATAATACATACCAAGAAAGAAAAGAAATTCTTAAAAGCCCCAAATTACCATTACATTCATGCCCATAATAAGCATAGGCAAACTTATAAGAGGATAACAGGCAACAGAGCCTGTAAACTACAAAGCTTTTGGCAGCATATTAATTTCTTTACATTTGACGGGACTTTAACATACTTACCAAATTAAAAGTTAACTTAGTTTGTCACATCAACATCATTTGGATCCAATAAGACATCGAAATTGTTCTACTCCAACTTTTTAGAACTTTATATTTTGATACAAACCAATTCTCTGACATCAGATAAACAGATGTATTATTTTTTCACAGGTTCCCTTTAAAAAAGCGTGTAGAAAAAATGACACTTGTATCGCTGAACTGGATGTGGATTTCAGTTTTATGTACGTATATGTGACAATCATAGCATAGAAACTATAAGACTGAAGTCACATGTTTAATGTAAAAGGTTCTTTGTTTCTCTCAGGACTACACAATTATTAGTGGCAGAAGATGCGTACTTCAACGTGTCTATAAAACTGGCCAATCACGGTGATGACTCGTACAACACCATGCTAGCGATGCACTATCCTCCAGGCCTCTCCTTCAGTAGAATGACACTTATAGAGGTAACTCAGACTTTAAACTCATCTAATCTGATTAAATGATCTAATTTAATCCCAAAATAGATTTGAATAACAACTGCTATTTAAAGAATCAAGCCATGGTTTTACACATCACTAAATTTACAGGTTGTGGGGAGCACTGCTGTATGTGCATGAGGGGTGTGCTATATGCATATGTAAAAGTGTGTTCAGAAACTGAGCTCTCTTAACTTCTTCCATGTTTCTGCTGGGATTAAGAAAAGCATCTAAATGTATTTGGTGTAAATACTACAAGTTGAAAAATAATATTGTCACATAATATTTCAGTGAACAATTCTTTTCATGAAAATAAGGTTACTATGATTTTGGAGCAACTTAATGGTCAAAAGTATACAAACCTTTGAAGAGTATTAGTTGTTCCCTCAATTGCTGGTTCATGACAGTAGTAGTAATATTATTATTATTATTATTATTATTATTATTATTATTATTATTATTATTATTATCATTATTATTAATAATAATAATAATAATAGCAAATTTTGTTAAAAAGTTACAAAGTGCTTCATAAAAAGAAATATATAATTTATTAAAAATCCAGAAATAGTGGGAAAAAAACAAGACAAATAACAGAAAAATAAGGAGAGGAATAAATAGTGGAGCAGATAATTTTAAAAAATTGTGCAAATAGTAATATAAGTACCAAATCTGGCACAATTCCTCAGATTAATACACATTTAAAGTTTACTTGATTATCCACTTGAAAATCCAAGATGGTGGATTTTTTAAGACGGCCACCAAAAAACTCTCAATTGTTTAGTTTTTAGTAATCTTGGTGTCTAAACAGACATTTTCAAACCTCCCAAGTTCATTTTCCCATTATCAAGAGCCTAACAGCAAGACGTATAACCAGATTTATAATATTATTTTGAAAACAATATGCAGTCAGTTATGTCGTGTAGATGTTTGCTATTTAGCAGATCAACAGATTGCTGCAAGAAACAAACACATTTTAATATAAAGCACAATGGTGGAAATGCACCTGCCAAAGCAAGTCAGAGTTCACTGCACATTGTAAGGGCAGTGGCACAGTGTCGATGACATCTGCCCCTGCATACTCAATATGTCAGTTCCTGGAAGCGTGCAGTTAATTGTAGGGAGTGTTGTCCATGAAACTGCCAAGGCCTTTTTTCCTGTCTGCCCGGTCATCTGGGTTCCCATTGTTTGGATCCTAATTGACTGCTTGTTCACAGATTTTTCCGACCTAGCAGGCAGTACGTTTCACATGCTCCCTGAGGGCTGCAATGGTGGAATAGCATCATAACCCTTGTTTCCATGCAAATAACTAACCTTATTTACCAGTAACTGAATTTGTCCGGTCCTATATATTAATATGGTGAAGTGGCATAGACGTTCCCAGGGAGGCTGAGGAGTGTGAGTCTGTATTGGAGCACACCCTCTTCTTGAGGATGAGAACCCCCAGCTAAGTCTGCCAATCAAGAAGTACCGCCAAAATATCCATGCAACATTGTAGAAGTGTGTCAGTCAAGCCCTACAACATCCATAGCCTTCAGGAACTAGTGGTCTCACCCCCAGAGATAGACAAGAAGATGTGCGAGTGGAATTTAGGAGGTCTTCGAAGTATTCCTTGCACCGCCCGACAGTGTCCTCAGTCGAAAGCGCTCCACCCACACTATACATAGTGCAGGTAGAGTACTGCTTTCCCCTCCTGATATGCCTATAGGTTTGCCAGAATCTCTTAGAGGCAGTCCAAAAGTATTTTTTCCGTGGCATCTCCAAACTCCTCCTGAGGTTTTGCTTCAGCCACTACCTGAGCCACGTTCCGCTTGGCCTATCAATACCTATCAACTGCCTCCAAAGTCCCATAGGCTAACTAATCCCAATAGGACTCCTTCATCTTGATGGTTCCCTTTACCTCTGGTGTCCACCATATTGTTCAGGGGTAGAGGCAGTTACAACCACGACAGGGACCAACCACCTTGCGGCCGTACCTCAGTGTAGCAGCTTCAACAATGGAGGTGCTAAACATGGTCCATTCAGACTCAATGTCTCCAGTCTCCCTCTGAATGCTGTCGATGCTCTGCTGGAGGTGGGAGTTGAAGATCTTATGGACCGGGGCCTCTGACAAGCATTTCCAGTGCACCTCACTATATGTTTAGGCATCCCAGGTCTGTCCAGCATCATCCACCGCCACCTTCCCAACTCACCACCAGGTGGTGATAAGTTGACACCTCAGCACCTCTCTTCACTCGAGTGTCCAGTACATATGGCCGCATATCCAATGATACGATTACAAAATTGATCATCAACCTGGGACCTAAAGTGTCCTGGTGCCACGTGCACTTATGGACACCCTTATGTTCAAACATGGTGTTTGTTATGCAGTTTGCACAGAAGTCCAGTAATAGAACACCACTCGGGTTCAGATCTAGCAGGCCATTCCTCCCATTCATGCCCCTCCAGGTCTCACTGTCATTGCCCACATGAGCTTTGAAGTCTCTCAGCAGGATGACAGAGACACCACCCCGCACAGGGGCTCCAAGAAGGCCAGGTACTCTCAATAGTCTTTCAATGCATAAGCACAGACGACAGTCAGGATATGTTCCCTTACCCGAAGGCTCAGAGAACAAACCCTCTCGTCCACTGGGAAAAACCACAATGTACAGGCAGCAAGCCAAGGGAATACTAAGATATCCACCACAACCTGCCACCTCTCACCAAGGACAGCTCCAGCAAAGTTCAGCCCCTCACCAGGAGAGTGGTTCCAGTTAACTCTTAACCTCACGCACTAACTCAGGCTCCTTCCCCACCACCTTAATGTACTTCAGAGCAAGGCCATTTAATGCTTTCTAATGCTAATGAATGGAAAGTCGGTACTAAATTTAATCGACAACCAGTTTAAATCCACCAGTACTGATTACTGGATATAACGCTTAAGTCAATATTAGGATTCAGCAAACAGCAGCAACTTTAAAGCAATATGGCTGACTTTGGTCTTGGCAGTAGTTGGCTACATCACCCATATGAACAAGACAATTTGAACAAAGAAAATTAGACTAGAACTAAATTACCTTAAAGTGAATTATTTTGTACATTAATCAAATTTCCATTAAGAAAACACCCAGACCTGAGTCTGGGTGCTGAGTTTTGCAAACACTTCGCTCATTGTTGTCCCCACTATTCACACATTTCAGATGATTTTAGAATTCAGACAGCTCGGGGGACTCAATTAACTTTGTACCTCAACAACACTTTGTACAAACCAATGGGTTTGTGGCTTATTTTGGCTGTCTGGTGTTTGGCAGGGGGCTGGTGTATAGCAAATAAAAAAACAGAAAAACCTCTAATTTATGTTTAAGGGAGACATTTGTATGAAACACAGAAGACTTAAGGAACTATTTAGTGGGACTTGGAGTTGTTTGTAGGTACAAAGAGCTCTTTCTTACAGTCTACAATCTTCAAAATTTTAAACTCAGTCTTACAGAATATCAAAAAAACTGTCACAGTAGCTGAAAAAGTTGTTATTCTAAAGAGTCTCAGCAGAGACTATTCTAAAAGTCTTTTTTTTCTTAAAACAGTCATCAAGATCAACGCCCCACAAATGCTCAGATCTAGAAGGAGTACTTGACAAAACCATATGTGGTGTGAGCCTTCCTCTGTTTCGCAGCAGATCCTCTGTGAGTCACAAAACACACAGATATCCTCCCAGCAGACAGAACTCAAGTTTCACAAATGGGGAACTGTCACAAGCTTTCTGAAACTTTTTGAGAAATATTTTTCTCTTCGTCTATGAATCAGGCCTAACCTCTTTTTAATTTCTTCCCACAAAAAGGCAACGTTTGAATCTTCTTTCTATGTCATGCATGACTTTGAATGGGATGATACAATCTCCATGACAATTGATGCAAATAGGTACGGAAATACTTAACATACAAACCATATCTTTAAAAAATTTGCTTCTGATATTAAAAGACACTGCTTTCTCATCTACAGTAATAATCAAGACTCTAATAGGACCAGTGCACTGACCAAAAATATCCCAGTACAATATGAAATTAAAATGATATTAACAGTGTAAGTTTCACTATTCACACAAAATATTATGGAATGCTTCTATGTTATTTATTTCTGCAAGTCTGTAGTTGCATACTTGTTCAGCTGCATGCTGCGAACATATTTTCAGGAAGCAAGACAGCGCTACCTATCTGAACTTCACAACAGAGGACCCTGCACCTAAAGAAATGGGTATTACATACAGGGTAAGACATAATTACACTGTCAAAAAACCATTCAACAGAACTGATGATCAATGATCAAAATGAATACTTTTTCTTTCATTTGAAGTTTGAAAAGGGCATTCACTATTTTATAAAAATATATATTTTATTTATTATTTAATATATATTATTGACCACTATCCAGGAGCATGTTCAGTTTGATAAAAAACCAAACTGAACTGAATTTCACATTTTCATTGTTGAATCCGATTGTTCAGTGATGACGTGACGAATCCTACTTCCGGGCCTAAAGTAGTCTGCATTTAATATGGCTTTTGTGTTGTTAACATGTTTAATGTTATGTATTTTCTTCTATTTAATCTCAAAAAGCTCCTAAAACAGTCAGTGATCCCTGTTGACCTCCCTCGGCTTTTATTACCGGTAATCATTTATTTAAGCTCAGTTTTTAAAACCTTAGGATGTAACTACAGCCCAGCCCATGCAGCAGTATATGAATGACTAACCTCGTATTGTGGATGGATTATCTCAGTTGTTCTCCTTGGTCCTTTTACAGCATCCTGCCATGCGATTACATTTGTTCCTGACCACCGAGAACACTCACGTTAACTTTTATCGAGTGGAAAAAAAGTTAGCTTGTTTATATTATGCTAACATAGCTGTGTCGCTAGCGGTCACGTAGCACATCATTATATACCAGCTAGCCCAACTTCAGTAACCCTACAAACGTCACTGCTGTTTAGTTTTCTGTCTTCATTTATGCTGGAAGTGATATCAGAGCTGTACGTTTTAATTTGTTTCCAATACCCCGCAGTCAGGACATGCTATATTGTATTTAGATAGAAGCTAGCGAGCTAACTCCCTGCTAACTTCTAACTCCGTTAAATGTCATAAATTCCGTTTTCATGGATGCCTGGATGTTAAACTCAATTGTTACACCTGGTAGAGCAGAACGCTGATCATTTTATTAAAGATGAAAGACTTTAGACAGTTTTTCAACTCTCAGTAATGCCATAGTGATCATTTGATATATGGACCTGCAGCGGAGTTTAGGTCCAGACACGGCTAGTGACGTCAGACTGAACAACCGGATTGCCATGTGTTCTCTTGACAGTAGCAGTTTATAAAGAGATAAAAAAATATTAGCAGAAAGAAGGTAATTCAGCTTGTTGTTGGTGCGGCCTTCTGCGCTGGACCGAGTGATCATTTCACTGGATCAATAAAAATACCAACATTTACTTTGGACAGTGGTCCCAAAACAATATCGATAGGTTCAAGTAAATGTTAAGCTACACTTACTGACTGTAGCTGGCAGATGGGAGGGTGGTATCAATATTTTGATATTCATACATAAACTAAAATATACAAAAAATGTATGTATTTAAAATGACCATTCTCTCTCTACCAATTTACAGATAGATAACTTTGGTTTTAAGGATTTTCCTGTCAATGTTACCATGTTCTTCCCAACTGAACTGGAGCATAACTTTGAAATAAAAAGCTATGAAGTCTTTGTCAAGGAGGTAACTTTGTGTCTGCCAGAACATTTCTCAGTCATACTGGTGCTGGATATGAAAATATAGAGCCTTAAAGCTTACCATACTCTGTCTCTTTAAGAACAAAACGCAGTGCACAGCCACTACTAACCAGACGTCTGAGGTAAGTACAACGGATTTCACATAAAAAATATTGCTTGTATATTGACTATATGCTTAAACTTTCACAACATTGTCAAATCATAAGCGTAACCTGTTGTGTTTGTTTCTGTGTTTTTATGCTTGTACTCTACTGGAATCACTCTGCATTGTTCACAGTTCAGAATAATGACATCATTTTCTTACAGTGGACCTTGCTGTAGCCTTTCAATCGAGGCTCTCTCTTAAATAAGCCATTTTAGCTAATTTTCTTACTTAAGCTAACTTTTATCATAATCAGAAGGTTCCAGGAACATAATACAAAGCAGTCTCCTCCTGTGCCCACCTCTTAATCTAGCTTGGTATCCGGTGACAGGTAGGATGGTTGGGATTGATGGCTTGCATCTTATTATACCTCTTATATTTTATTTAAAGTCACACAAATCACATAAATAATCCCAAATCTAATGCTTAGATTGAACGCAATCAGGTAATCTTGACAAAGTTTACATGTCTAAATGCAATGTATTGCGTGCCATTTGATTGGCTGATTAGATATATGTGTTAAAAAGTAGTTGAACAGATGTAACTAAAAATGTGGCCAGTGAGTGTATGACAGAAAGTCAGGAAAAGCCTAATAGGTCTCTCTTAAAAAACTAAACCTCTGGTTCCATTACAGGATTGCTTGCTAGAAAATAAGTGCATAACCATGGTCTGCAAAAGTTTCAATTTGGAGAAATATTCAGCCGCTGAGTTTACCCTGTTGGGAAAAGCAAATTTCCGAGACCTTGAACAGAAGCCAGCCGTATGTAATAACTAAATATGCAGACAAAATATACTCCACATATACATTTTTATATTAAATATAGAAAATCTTGTTAATCTGATCTTAACTTACAGAATCTTCCTTTTCTCAAAAAATACACTGGAGACAGTGGAAATGTAAAATTTGTAAGTTCTATACATGTTGGCTATAACAAGGATCGGTTTGTGTTGGAATCTCTTAAACAAAAGGTATGTCTAAGTTTGACCACAACATATTTCTGTCATTGCTTTTTCAGTAAACCTAATTTATTATATTTATGACCCACAGAAAAAAGACGATTTTACGCCGTTCCAGTTTCCAATGAGAAGGGTACCTGCAGTCTTCACTCATTCAAATAATACTACTAGATGGGTCAACATTAAAAAGAGTTGGGTAGCACTTAGATTTCTTTTCTGTTTTCTCTGGCAACAGATTGAAGTTCAGTTTGATTTCATTATCCCTCCAAATAAACTGCTGATTATTTCAACTGGAGTTAGTTTAGGACTCGTGCTCCTGATTGTAATCACAGTCGTGCTGTTTAAGGTGAGACTTAAAGACTTTTATCTTTATGTTAATTTAAGTGTAACTTGATTAAGCATATTGAAATAATGGTTTTACTATCTGGTCTAATGATTCTTTTTTTCTTTCGTCTCTCTCAAGTTGGGCTGCTTCAAGAGGAGAAAACTCACATATCACATACAACGAGAACGCATCAAAGCAACTGAAAATGTGGAGGAAACGAAAGTACAGATATTTCTAATATACAACTACAGTGAAGGAGTAAATTTGAACATCTAGAAAATGCATTTAATTGGTTCCTTAAAATCTCAACAATTTCTAATCTACCTAGCAACAGCTCAATGAGAAACAGTCCCAAAACCATCGAAAGAACCACTGAACTTTGAAAATGAAAATTGTCCATTTCCAAAGTTGATAAAATTCCCCTTCAAGCTCCTACACTAAGCCATGTGATTATGCCATGCGGGGGGGTTTTGTCTTTAAAAAAAACAAAACAAGAGACCAAGCTTGGACCAGTGTACCAAAGTAGATCATCACTGATTATGATTGAAACCCTAGTCCCATTCCAAAACCTTAAACTTTTGTTTTGGAGAATAGAAAATGATATTTCTTTCTAATAAAATGAAGTGTTTTTGATGAACAGAGAAAACCATGTAAGTGACTGCTTATCTTGTACTTAAAGTTCAGTTTAAAGGGCTATTTCATTATCATTTGAATGTATATTATTTGTGTCAGATCCTTGTATTGAGTTCCCTTAAAGACAATGGAAATGCCAAAACATTGGACACATTAGTGATGTCAGCTGCATTTATGATATCCTAATTATTAATTATATGATGTCTTTATTTCGATGTGTAGAACATATCGTTTTATGAGTTAAGAGTTGGATGTTTGAATAACAAGGAGAGTATTTCTGAGTAATGTAAAATGTGATGGAGTGGCTGTTTGGTTTCTCCTATGTCGAGATCCAAACTTTAAATAACTGCACAGCTATTATTTTAAAGGTTCGGCAGATGCTTTCGATTATATGAGCTCTAAAATGATATTTTATGATTTTTTTAAATGATTTTTTTTTTTCACATAATGCATATATAAGAATAATATGTCCTGTGCTTAGTAAATATGTATAGAATGAACCTAGAACTGAAACAAACTGAGTTCGTTTAGAAACGAATGAATTGCACTGATATTGTGAAGATTCACTGATGATTGTGAAATGCAAAGCTTGCATCTATGAACAACAGTCTGGGAAAATAATTATATTTGTGGTAATGGAAAATTATAATTCCACCATATGTGTCAGGGTCCTGGGACTGGGCGACCCAGGATCCCTGAGCAGTTATGTATTATATTATTATTATTATTATTATATGTATTTTGGTATTGCTGCTGCTCTCCTCCATGATTGTAGATGTGAGTGTGTGTGTTTATGTCTGCGGGGATGCTTGGAGGATGGAGCTCAGCCACCTGCAGGCCTGAGGGGTGTGGCCCTGCGGAAGGACTGGCCACACCCGAAGCCACACACCTGCCGCTGATCAGGGCTCGTCGGGGGAGCTACTTAGGAGAGTCTTGGAGCTCCCACCGACGCGGGATCATTGCTTGGGACTCCACGTTAGTTACCCAGTTTAGGTTTTGGTCGTGTAGTGTATGCCTGCCATTGTTCAGTGTCCTGACTGCTGCCGCTATTGTTTCCCGCAGGAGGAGCGTGGAGGGCTTAAGGAGCAGCGAGCACCGGGAGTGCAGACACGGGAGCAGAGAGCACTTGGAGGACACGACACGGGAGTCTGGGGAGAAACACGGGGATTTATTGTTGTTTGATATCACCCTCTGTAAATAAACACTGTCTATACGTAGAGCACCGCGCCTGGGTCCTCCTTCCCCACTCCTTCCACGGTGTGCCATGCCGTACCGTGACAATATGTCCCTTAGTACTTTTAGATGCTTTAAAAAAGTAAAAGATTTAACACTGAGATATTTGTGGTTTACTCAGTGTATATCTAACTGACATATGCAGTATGACAAGCTGCCAGCAGATGATCCCTGTAAAGGACTAGTACAATAGTCTCATGATGTCAGTATGATAAGAAGGACACCTCAATTCCAATTACATTTTGCGTAATAAATTAGGATATTTATATTCCGTTGAATTCCGTTTTCCAAATTTTGCCAGACATAATGGGACATAAACGTTGTTTTTACTGCCTTTTACTGTATATTTCATTTAACTCTTAGCTGTTATATGCCTGTTAAGGGGATGAAACTCTTTTGTTTTGCTCAGCTGTGGAAGAAGATGAACGTGTGGAGCGCTGACACCCTGTAGTCTCATACAAATTACACGGATGCTTGCAATAACTGCATATAGACCACTTTCACTCGAGGGGTGTGTTTGTAGTAAAATGCCAAACAAGGGACGTTAGGCTGCGTTGCATGCTGGGAAATAATTTTGTTGCTAGGAGACCGTAAACCTCATTCGGTGACGGTACAGCGCTTTGTAGCTAGTTTGACAAAGCTCTAAACACTAAGGCAGTTTAATTATTATTTTGAGAGAACAATAAGATATTCTGGTGCTGAATATTTGATTCGATAGCCTGCTTAAATACAAGGTGACTGCAATCACAACACTGTCATCAGGCATCAACGAAGTTGAAAACGTTTTCTAACTTAACGGTAGGTTCAGTACAGGCCAACTGTCAGTTCGCTTCGACGTTTTCCAGCGTTTTAAGTACGTGACTTTAGCTAGTTGCATCACACTGTGCACTTGCTTTTTGCACTTCCTGTCCTCTTGTCCTTTTACTCTCTCAGGGACGAGAATATGGACTCAACTACGAGGGGCGCGCAGCCGATCCTCCCTGCCCAAAGAAGTGCTAGTGGCTCCCCAGGTGGGTACATCCATTATTCTGTTCATTTGTGTTCATACAGCGCCAAATCACAACAACCGTCGCCTCAAGACGCTGTATATTGTACAGAGAAAACCCCAACAATCAGACGAATCCTTGAGCGCAAACACTTGGCGACAGTAGGAAGGTAAACTCCCCATTTAACAGGAAGAAACCTCCGGCATGACCAGGCTCAGGGAGGGGCAGCCATCAAGAGTGTGAGAGTGTGGGGAGTGAGACAGGACAAAACACGGGCTGTGGAAGAGAGACAATAATAACCAATGAATAAATGCAGAGTGGTGTATTTAAATAAGGTGAATGAAGAAGAAACACTAAGTGCATTGTAGGAAGCCCCCAGCAGCCTTGGTCTATTGCAGTATAACTAAGCAGGCTTCAGGGTCACATGATCCAGCGCTAAACATATGCATTGCAAAAATAAATTACAGTTTTTAAGTCTAATCTTAAGAGTAAAGAGGGTGTCTGTGTCCTGAATCCAAACTGGGAGCTGGTTCCATAATAAAAGGGTCTAAAAGCCTTAAAGGTCTAAAAGGCTAGTCTCCTGTTTTACTTTTAAATATCCTAGAAACCTACAAGTAAACAACCAGTCTGACAGCAAAGTCCTATGGTCCTATGATGTCTTTAAGATAAGATGGGGCGTGATTATTCAAGACCTTGTATGTGATCAGAAGGAGTTTAAATTAAATTCTCAATTTAACAGGGAGCCAATGAAGAGAAGCTAATGCAGGAGAAATATGCTTAATCTCTCTAGTGCCTGTCAGTACTCTCACTATAGCATTTTGGATCAACTGAAGGGGTTTCAAAGCTTTTAGTTAATGAATTACAATAGTAACAAATATTTCTGGCACAACTACACCTACTGCATGGAGAAGATAAGGATCTAATGACGCAGAGACTCCAGCAACACTTAAAAGTAATGAGAAACAACTTTATTAAGTGACCAACACATTTCGGCTTGTAGCCTTCATGAGGGTCATTGTAAAATGTAAAACAGTTTGTGTTTAAGTAAAAGCCAGGAAACAGAAAACAATTTCAAATGGATAATTAAACCTTCACAAATAAACCAGCTGACCAACTGACATTTAACGAGGTGGTATTGGTCATTTAGTTAAGTCACAGCCCAAGTCACAGCCTTCGATTCTGGACTAAACCATTAAAGATTAAAAGGGGAGGGAAAAAATCCCCACATGTCTTAACGTAATACATACTCAAAATTACACAGAAAGATGCAAATAAGTTAATATAAAGAATAAAAAAAGATAAAATTTAAAAGTAAATATAAGTACAGGAACATTAAAAGAGGAAGATGATGGAAAAATGTAGTTAAAAAATCAGTTGGTCACTGAATAAAGTTGTTTCTCATTACTTTTGCTTGTGTAGTGTTGCGGGAGTCTCCGCATCAAATTAATTACAATAGTTCAGCCTAGAAGTAATAAATGCATGAAGTAATTTTTCAGCATCACCCTGAGCAAGAATGTTTTTAATTAAAGGGATCTTGCGTAAATGCAAGAAAGCAGTCCTACATATTTGCTTAATATGCACATTGAAGGACATTTCCTGGTCAAAACTTCAAGATTCCTCCCAGTGTTACTGGAGCCCAGGTAATGCCATCCAGAGTAAGAATCTGGTTAGACACCATTTCTAAGATTTCTATCTGAATTTAGAAACAGGAAATTAGAGGTCATCTAGGCCTTTATGTCTTTAAAAAGTCAACCTCTTTTGCAAATGTTAGGAATAAGTTTGGTTTCTACTTGATACTGTCACAGAGCTGCTGCAAAAGCTTCCTGAACTACAGAAGCCCCCTGACCCACCAAAGCCTCCATTCAGAGATCCCCAGGTGAGACTTGGCTTATTAAGTTCAAATGGTAGATGGTATGAGATCCAGTTTACTGTATACCCAGTGTCATCCATAGGAGTTTTTGCTTATCCATAAAATAAATGAAATGATAGGGGCTTTTGCATGTCTTTTGCTTTCCTTAAATGTAGGGTGTGTTGAAGAGATGTGTAAAACGAAACGAGCCCAGTGTTCTACATTTAAAAGCTCGCGAAGAGATGATTTTTCCAGGTTGGTACACAGAGCCACAGTCATCTAAAAGTCTGGAGCAACGGCGCCGTGAAGTTATCGACCTAACTTCTCAGCCATCCTCTAAAGATGCCACTGACCAACAGGTATTAGACGATAATATGTATGAAAAAAGCCTACTATGAGCTTTAATTTGTATCATATTTGCTACATCAGCATTTGTGGCAATTTGTTGCTTAATACTGTGTTGTACAATTTATTTAGTTTGGTTTGTTTGGGGTTTTTTTTTTAGAAGGTGCCTCTTACAGTGATAATGTAAACGTCTCAAAACTATCAAATATTCACCTGGGATTAAGGGTTTAAGGGATTCATTCTGCCTGGTTTCTAGGCTAAAACTGTATCCAACTATGCATTGCTTCACTTTTTGGAATTGCATTGTCTGCACAAGGGGCCACAGGTGACCATATTCCACATAGCCAGAGTGTAGTGGCGCAAGAACAAGTCCAACCATTGGGCCTTTGATGGGTGTCTTCGCCCTCTGTCTCCCCACGTTCCTGTCCCCCAGTTTGTTTTCACTGCTGAGCTATCCAATAAAGGCATAAACATGCCCTATTTTATGAAATCATGTGAATGCAATAACTGAAAGGAAGTCACTGAGGATGTATGTCATAGCTGCATCTACTAGGAGGCTGAGGGGTTATTCTGGTGGCTGCCAGTGTTTAT